AGTCTCTAGAAATACAATGCTAGAATGTCAATGGAAAGCCAGTATCCTGAATAATTCATAAAAGTCAGAGATTTCATATCATTCAAATTCATATAATTCAAAAATTCATAACGAAAAACTGAGCTGAATCCTTAAAACTGCATAGAACTTAACCTACGCTTAGAGATTATATCCGATATAGAAGTACCAAATGGAGAAAGTAGGTCTGAAGATGGTTCTGATGGAAAGTACCTAGGAAGTTTTCACTCACAGTAACACCTACAGTCTTAGTACACATGATGTGTTTACCTAAGATCTACTTTAATTTAGACTAGACTCTTTTCTTAAATGGAACCCACAGCCTCGGGCTAGTTTAGTTCTCGGAGCTTTCATTCACCAATCTTCTAGCGATGCTCCTTGAGCCTTAATGTCCTTATGCATCACCTGAGGCTCCTATCAATACACAGAATCAGATGTATAGTAGGGCCGGGGTGGGGTCTGAAAGTCTGCATTTCCAAAAATCTCCCAGACGATGCTCACAGTGATTGTCCACAGACAAGCATTTTGAGCAGCAAGGTCTTAGAAGACATTGTGAGGATTAAATTAAATGACCTACATAAAACCCTTGGCACAGATGTGGCTGGCACCCTACAGAAGAAAAGACTTGTGAGGGAAATAATAAAACATGGTGAAAACCTAGAAGTCTCATGATCTAATCCTCTTTTCTTTCCCAGATGGGAAAACAACAGGTTGAGAAAAGTTAAAATCTCCACTTCCTAATAACCAAAGGTGTGTAATGAGAACAGACATTCTCTTTGACGGCAGGAAGTACAATCAAGATCAATGAGTGGAAGTTAAAGAGAGCTTTTCATGCCATACAAGGGGAAACGTTTTAACAGTAAGTGCTGTCCTACAACCAACTGGCCCTCATTAGGAGTAAGAATGAAGACCCAGAATGAGCACAGACCATCTAATGACATTAAAGACATGCTTTGGGTCACTGCTGAATATCTAAGAGACAACACACAATTAGTAGAGTTAAAAAAGTAAAACAGAAACCTCCTTATTCCTCTCCTCACCCCAACTCAACTCCCCCTGAAATCTTCTCCTTTGTAGTGAATTGAGATGCTTAAGTAAAAAAGCTTTGGAGTCATCCTTAACTTCTGTTCTCTCACACCTCACATCCATTCCATCAACAAACTCTAATGCTGTACCTTCGAACTGTCCACAGTCCAATTACTTCTTTTTTTTATTGATTATGCCATTACAGTTGTTCTATTCCCCCCTTCATTCCCCTCCACCCTACCCCTCCGTCCCCACCATTACCCCCCTTTAGTTTATGACCATGTGTCTCAAGTTCTTTAGATTCTATATTTCCCATACTATTCTTGCCCCCCCCATCTATTTTCTATCTACTGTCTATGCTACTTATTTTCTGTACCTTCTTCCCCCCTTCTCCTCCTCCCACTCCCCTGTTGCTAACCCTCCTTGAGATCTTCATTTCTATGTTTCCACTCCTGATCTAGCTGTCCTTTTAGTTTGCTTTTGTTTTAGGTGTGGTTGTTAATAACTGTGAGTTTGCTGTCCTTTCACTGTTCATGTTTTTTTATCGCCTCCATTAAAACCACTCTGGTCCAAGCCACAATCTCTGGGTAACTACAATAACCTTCTAACAAGTCTCTCTGCCTTCAGCTATGATCTCTTCTCAACACAGCAGCCAGTGTATGGCCACTTCTCTGCTCAACTCATTCTGATGGTTTTTATGTCATTTGGAGTTAAAATCAAAGACCATATAATAGTTTACAAGCCTAACATGATCTTCTCCCTCAAGTCCTTGATCAGATTTCGTGTTATTCTCTCATTTTCACTCTGCTTCAGATGCCCTTGAACTCACAGTTCCTCTAATCACATTAAGGATGCTGCTACCTCAGGATCTTTGCACTTGCTCTACCCTAAGCCATAAAGATTATTCTCTGAGATTTGCAAGTTTATGCCCCACATTGCCAGTACAATGTGGAGCAAAAGTGGGTTTACAGTTTTTTTGCATGAAAAATAATACAACAATTAATAAATAATAATACAAGAATAGACTCTGCATTTCGTGTACTCACAACTGTAAACCTACTTTCACCCCACTCTGTATGTGAAACAACCTAAAGACACTTAGCAGAAACATTTTAATTGTTTTCCATGGAGGAAAAAAGTACTCACACTTAGCTTAAGGTCAGCATTTTATTTTCCATACTTGGTACAGATGAAGGACTAGGTGAGGCAAATCACACTTTAGAAAATCCTGTCTTAACACCAAGTTAAGGAAGATGAGGTGCTATGTTCCCACATCAGAGTACTGCCAACTACCTGGGCAAAGAATCACTTTTCTGAGGCCCCCTGGTCTGTAACCCAGGGTTATCCCACTGCTAACAGAATGAACGAACATCCTAGATTCAATGTCATTCTGCTGTCCACAAGGAATTACATACATTTTCTCCTTTTAAAACCAAAGTTCCCCAACTGAGCTCGAAAAAACCTAGCCACCCCTAGGTAGCCATGGACAGACAGTGGATAGAGAAAGCTGGAGTGTGCCAACCAGGTGGTTTTTGTTGTTTTTTTTTAGAAAAGAAAGTCATGCTTTTAGAGAGACAATCCTCTCTAGGGACTCAGGTCCAGGGCTGCTGTGCATGGTGGTTCTGGTTCACACCACACAACAGCACGAGGCACCTTTCACAGTTTTGCTGTGCAGCTTCTCCAGCCACTCAGCTTTTAGGGCTGAGAAATAAAAGCCACTCCTGGCTTGCACAAACAGCTTCAGAGGGATGGAGATAAATGCATCTGATATAAGAATTAATATGGGCAAGGAGGGGAAAGAGGGAAGTGAAGATGAATTCTGGCCTGAGCTGAAGTGCCCCGGAAGAGAGGGTGCACACTGGAAGTCAGCTTCAGCTACAGTTCCTCCAACCTTGCATTCACAGCCTCCCTGCAACTCCTTCCTCAAAAGCAGGATACTTTTGGATGCAAACCCACAACTGTAGGGGGCTGCCTCAAAACCCCTATGCCCTAGATTAAGAAAGCAGAGCAGTGCCATGAGGAACTCAGAGTATCAAGGCATATTCTTATCTATGACTTTCTCAGCCAAGGAGTCAGATTTGTCTTTTGTAAGGAGCCTCCTCTGTGATTCTTTCTCAAAGGCTACCCAGTACAGGGGCTGAGCAAGACCTAAGAACATGGGATCCAGCTCGTGGATTACAAAGAACGGAGGCATAAAATTGGCCAAAAAGATGTTAAACATGCAACTCAGCAAGAGACCTCATCCATCTTCTCTTGTACAAAAGCCAAAGGTAACTGCTTATTGGGGACAACTATGGGAATTGTGGCACAGTCACGGGAAGAAAGCGGGACACAACAACACTAACGCTTGGTGTGGAGGAAGCATGTTAATAATTTTCTTGTTCCTGCTGCTAAAAGACAGAACTCTCTGCACTTGGGACGTCATCCTGGGCCCCCAATTAATTCATGAAATGAAGCATGTTCATTCGAGTCTGCAGTCTGTGCAGCCCATCACATTCAGCAACAAGACTCACGAAGGCTGGACATTAAAACTCTGGGGAAATCATTTGGGACCAATAGTATTTCTTAGTTTAATTCTCCACTCTGAGTAACACATTACTGATCATCCGATAAACTTAATTAACATAACCACAGGCAATGGGGAACAATCATCTTTCTTTTTCAATAGAAAAAAAAAGGCTTTGAGCAGAGAAAATCTGCTGTAAACTTTTAACAGATGGATTCTCTTCACCCTACAGACCCATTGTGGACACACTATCAAGGAAATGCTGTTTTAGTCAGGCTTAGTGGGTATTGCTTTATGAACCAAATAATTCTCTAATTTATCCTCTGGGTAAATAGATTTTTACATAATAGATTGCCTTAAAATGAGGTAGATTCGTGCTGGATAATTTGCACAGCAGTAGCTCATTTCCAGTATTTACACACAGGAACGGCAGGGGAAGGCCATTTTTTCACCCCATCGTTAACAGTCCAACCACAATACACTTTTACTTTTATTATTAGTAGTAAGGCTACAAGAATCTTCGAAAAAGTAATTTCTCCAGGTGAGTAGAATCCCAAGTCAATATTTAGAAGGAAATTGCCTTCTAGCAACCAGTAGTGGATGAGAAGACAGAAGTGGGAGACCCAGGGCCGCCGAGGAAAGCAAATGACTCCACCAAAGCTGCCTGCTCCAACCTTAATTGGACAAATGCCAAAATAAATGAACTTTCCAAAGTTAGGAGCTTCGCACCTTTCACTGATAACTGCAGGTGCACAAGCCGTGACCGATTAGCCCACCAACCGGGGTGTGCCCAGCGGTGGCAGCTGGCCGTCCCAGGCCCAGGCCGCCTCCACGCCAAAGGACCCGCAGGGAACAGGTTCAGGCCCGGCTGCCCAGGGCCCGGGGCTCCCTCCCCCGGCCCAACGCCATCTCCCGTACTGCCCTCTCGCCCTAGACCTAGGAAGGGAAATAGGCGCTCTGGCACGAGGATTAGGCGTACCCAGTAGGATTCATACGCAGCCCGGGGCGTCCCCAACTCCCAACTTCCCGGAGTTTTCCTCCGGCCTCCTCCCACTTCCCACCGCTCCTAAGGCCGCGGAGGCCTCCCCTCGCCCAGAGCGCAGAACCTGGTAAGTGGAGCACAGAGCTCTGAGCTCAGGAGCCTCCCCCAAGAGCCCCAGCGTAGGTAGCGCAGGTGGCGGGCGTGGTCCCTCCAACCCCAACCCAGCCCACCCGGAATCGGCCTCCGCGCAGCATCCTCTACCGGGATCCTCGCCCGGTTCCAGCATCAGGCCCCGGTGCGCTGGTTCCCCATCCCCTCCCCCAGGTCGGTGGCAAGCCCCCCACTCCCACCCCCACCCCGTACCTCTTCCCTCCAGTCCGCGTTGCTCTTCTACCTCAGGCCCCTGTGTGGCCCCAACTCCCAGCCCAGGGCCCTCCGTTCGCGCTGGGCAGTGGCTGTGGCACTCACCTGGGTCGCGGAGACGGGGTCTGGCGCGGTCCCGCAGGTGGTAGATAAAATCCTGGCAGCTGTCGTGCTCCAGGGCCCCACGGGCACAGAGCTCGGCCAGCAGCTGCAGCGCCTGGTGACAGAGCGCGTCCCTGGCCCCGGGCATCGCCCCCCCACATCCTCGGACCGCGCCGGGCAGGCGGGCGCAGGAGACAACCCTCCGCCTGCCAGCTCAGAGCCGCCGCCTCCGGGCCGTCCTCGCTCGCCGCCAGGGGCCCGCCGGAAAACGGCCCGAGCCCCAGCCCCAGCTGGCCCGGCCTCCCACCGGTTGCATGCAGCTCTTTGCCAGCCGGTCGTCGGTCTTTCGGCTCTCTCTCTCTCCCTCTCTCTCTCCCTCCCTCCCTCTCTCCCTTCCGGCCCCTCCGTCCCTCCCCCGGCACCAGGAGAGGCGGCGCCGAAAGCCCAACGCGCCTTGTTCCTAGCGCTCCGCCCGCCACTCGCGGCTGCCCGGGGCGGGGCCGGGTCAGGGGTGTGCAAGGTAGAGTGGGATCTCCGTGGTCCTTACTCCGGCGCCAGCGGGGAACTGGGGTCGCGTGCTGGCTCCTAGAGGAGCGCGGAACTCGGCTCCAGACCACGCGCTTGGGGCGGTCGCGCCTGGGCTTGGAGAGCGTGAGCGGGTGCGCGCTCCGAGCGCTCTCGCCACCGCACCCCTCCAACCCGTGAAAACCAACCTCACCCACCGTCCCTCGCCTCGTGTGTCCAAAGCACATTTTGGGGTGCGTTGGGGAAAAGGTGCAATCTGGACCACACCCGCCTGAACTGGAGAACAGAGCGCTGGCTTCAAACTCGAAAAGTACCGCCTGTCCATAAACCACGGGCCTAAGAGTGCTAGATGCCCAGATGTGAGGTTTGGGGTCAAGATTCGCCATCCAAGGAAAGATTTCCCTAGCGCGGGGCCTTTTCCGCCACCTGGTGATTGGGAGAAGGTCAGGGCTTTCAGATCAGAACTAAGGTCAAATAACTGGCACCTGAGAAAGACACTGGTACACACCTGGAACTTCGTAGGTCCTAACTCATTTGCTAAGCAACTGATTGGAAATCCGAAGATTGCCAACGTGTTTCCAGCACCCACCAAAGGAGAGTATGGTTAAATCCTGGATGTTTGGAAGGGAACACAGGGCACCTCTCATACACCCACCTCTTCAGCCTTTCGGGCAGTAAGCCCAGAAACAACCACGGAGTACTGAGCTCTTTGTTTATATGCGTGGGCACTGTGCCACAAGCCTTTTAGATAGATAATCTCATTTAATTCCCTGGATAGCCCGGCAAGGTCTGCATAACTGTTATCCCTGTTTTACCAATGAAATACCCAAGACTCAGAAAAATGTCACCTGCCCGAGTTCATATGTGGGGAGGCAAGGTAACTTTGGCTTTTTTTTTTTTCCTTTTACATACTAGTGTCTAGGCCCCAAGCCCACTCTACAACAATTAGAGGAGAATCTCTACAACCAGCATTCTTAGCCATAAGGTTGTGCTGTTGCTATGGACATCTCATAACACACTATCCTGCCCAGAGAGGTACTTCCGGACAAGTTTCGAAATCCTGCTGTGAATTCTGCTAGGGCCTGAAAGACCTTCTACTGCAGTGATTTTCAACCTTTTCATCTTGGGGCACGCATAAACTGGTTACTAAAATTTTGCAGCACACCAAAAAATATATTTTTTGCCCATCTGACAAAAAATAGGTATAATTTTGATCTATTCACACCATTGCCTACTGTTGTATTGGCTGTTGTCATTTTTTTATTTGACAGTCTAAGAGAAACGAGGTCAGTGCCCCGGACTAAATAGTCAAGTATTGCATGTTTTAAAAATTCTTGCAGCACACCAGTTGAAAATCACTGTTCCATTGGAATAGCAGAGAAAGTGAGGAATTTTCTAAAAGTAAAGATAAAGATAAATAAAGATAAAGATAACTACTCCAGAGAGTTGTGAAAAGGCAGGTAGACTCTCTGCCCTAAGAAATTATGGGGGAGAAGAAAGGGCTGAGAGGAAGCCTGTGGAGGAGGCAGAACAGAAGCCACCCCTTGAAAGGAGGGAAAGACACAAGGTGGAAGGAGAATCACGAGTGTGGTGCTAGGGCTGGTGTAGTCATGGTGGGAAGGAGCTGTGTTAAAGCACATAGAAGTCTAATACTGATGTGATTATGTCAGAGAGAAACTGGAGACAATAAGAAATTGGTTTGAGCAACAACAGGGATGGACCTAGAAGGCATTATGTTTAGTGAAGCCAGACAGAAAAAGACAAGTACCATATGATTTCACTTATATATGGAAACTGAAAAAACAAATGAACAAAACAAAACAAAGAAACCCATAGATATAAATAACTGATAGTTGCCAAAGAGGTGGGGTGTGAGGGTGTAGGAGGGTATAGCCAGGGGACCCCCAAAAGAAGGATTTGTAATGGGGTACAAAACTCAGGGTATCCAGGAAATATTAAAAATATGGGATGTCCTCACCCCCACAAGTCTGAGCTGGGGGGATGGGATACATGGAGCAGGGCCATTGAGTTGTTTTGCATAGCAACAGTTTCAGAGATAACCTCTAGAATGGTCATTTAACATGTCTGTACCCTTTAACTGGTTTCATAGATATGTTAAATAGCTGTGGCCATACTTTGAGCCAGGGAGAAGAGACAGACTTCCACTCAAGATCTAACTGGGAGGAAACTCCCCAGCCCTCCTTACAGCGCCTGCATGAGAGCTTGGAGACGATTGGCTCCACGCCATGGGGCCACACCTGGCCAGACTCACTACGGCAGCCCAGTAAAGCTGGGAGGATATGGAAGGCCTGGTGGGTGTAGCCAATTGTGGGAGGAGTCAGAAATGGGACTGCAGAGGAAGATCGAGGCTGGAATTTAATCGGAGATGCAGCAGCCATTGGAGAGAGAACCACGCGCTTTTGGCCAGAATGGGGACTCTTGCAGCCAAGTGACAGAGAATCACCATGTAGCTTTAGCAAAGAACCCCCACACAGCTTTGGCAGAGAATCACCATGGGGCTTTCTATTCCTTTTCCTGAGATACAGTACCTTGAACTGGGCAAAGGGGGAAAGAAGGACTGTGTATGTTTGTGGGCGTTTTAAGGGACTTTGGGATTTTGATGAAGACATTAAGTCATTACTCTTAAGCCTATATAACCTGAATAAATAACTCCTTTTCACCAATCTCTAACATGGAGAGCTATAATTCTCTAGCAAAGGGAAAGGCAAACCTAGTACAGGGGGACCCCCAGGAGAAGGGGGGTCAACTAGGTAACATTGTGGAACCCCTTCCCTGGCAGCCAATCCAGGAAAACCATGGGAGACCACGTGTGCAGTAGCTTTACAACTACCTGTCATAGTAAAAGCCTGCTAAAACTAGCCAGGAAGGATCCACCCTATAAGAATAGAGTCCCTCCAGCCCATGAGGTCAGTCTCTGCTTGGACTTGGCCTGCTCCCATGTTCTCTGCTATAAACTCTTGGTGTTCGGTTCAAATCTTTGTCCCGATCACCAAGAACCTGGTTACCTGTGCCCACCTGTGACAAGAGGATGGGTGAAAAAGGTGAAGGACAATAACAGGTACAAACTTCCAGTTATGAATAAGCCCTGGCGGGATACTCAGTTGGTTAGAGTGTTGTCTTGATTTTCCAAGGTTGCAGGTTCCATCCCTGGTCAGGGCGCATACAAGAAGCAACTAATGAATGCATACAAAAGTGGAACAACAAATCAATGTTTCTGTCCCTTTCTCTCTCTCTCTTTCAAATCAATAACTCATGAGGCTATCATGTACAGCATACAGAATGTAGTCTATAATATCAATAACTATAATATGACAGATGGTTACTTAGACTTATTATGGTGATCACATTATAAGGCATATAAAGCTGTAATCACTATATGGTATACCTGAAACAAATGCAATATTTTATGTCGACTGTCACTTTAATTTTAAAAATTAAGAAAAAATTATTTTGCTAATTCAGACAAGATATGAATGAGGGCCTAGATTGGGCTAAAGGCATTGGGTGATTTCCAGAAACATCCGCATTTGAAAAACATTTCAAATGTTATTTGACAAAATTGTGACCAATGGAATGAGAAAGAAAAGACAAGAAAGTTTCAGAAACTGACCTGGGTCATATGTGGTTGGACGTGGATGATACCCTGAATTGCATGCCTAGGATTTAGGAGAGATGGGTATCAACAAAAGGTCACTGCTACCAGTCTAATGCTCACAAGAGTCCCCACCCTGGGTGTGGTCAACGGAGGAACTTTACTCAAAACAGTTTGCAAAACAAGAAATCACAGCTGGGAAGAGAGAAAACTGTGCTCCGTTAAGACAAAGGGGACGCCTGTTTTTACAGAGGAAGTTGCAATTGTGGCCCCTCATTTTTATGCACATGAGATCCAAATTTGCACAGTTTGATTGGCTGGAATAGCAGTTGTCCTGACTGGTCAGCTTTGAGTGTTTTGATTGGCTGTTATGTTGCCTCTCTCCCACCCCCTACTGGGGACCTGGCCTACAACCCAGGCATGTGCCCTGATCTGGGAATCAAACCAGCGACACTTTGGTTTGAAGGCTGGTGCTCAATCCACTGACCCACCCCAGCCAAAGCTAGGAACTCCTTTATAAGGTTCAGATGGCAGGAACACAATGCGGGAGGCTTAGCAGCTCAGTTTGTGGCTTTCCCATGAAATTCAGTGGGTGTGACAGGGCTCAGTCAGCAATGGCTGCTAGACTCTGGTTATGATTTGGGGGCCTAATTAACCACCAGGAGTCCTTTCTGGCAGATACATTCCTTCTCAGGGTTCACAGGGGAAATTGGCAATCATCCATAGAAAGGTAGAGCTTGAGTTACCATACTGCATAAGTTCCTCCAGGAAAGAAGAGCTGGGAATATGGGAGAGGCCTTTGTCATGTAAAATGTGGCTTAACAAGGAAAAGAATGATAAGCAGCAATCAAAGAAGGAGAACTCAGAGGGGAGTCATGGGGGCCAAAGGAGGAGGAACAGTAGATGGAGAAGTGATCAACAGCATCAGTTGTCACTGGAACTTAAAAGAGAAAAAAGCTGTCCTTTTCCCTGACTGATGGGACTCAGTTGCTTGGGCATCAGCCTACAAAGCAAGAGGTCACCACCTTGATTTTCAGTCAGGACACATGCCTGGGCCGCAGGTTCGGTTCCTGGTTGGGGTGCGTGTGGGATGCATAGGACAGACAACTGATGTTTCTCTCTTGTACCATTATGTTTCTCTCCCTCTCTTTCTCCCTCCCTTCTCCTCTGTTTAAAAATAAATAAAATCTTTTAAATAAACCCAAAATTGCCCT